ATCGGCTAAACTCAACCGGCCCGCAGGCAGGTTCGCCGAAGTCTTGGCCTTCGTGCCGAGATGAAGTATAATAGACGCGTTCAGCTGATCCGACACCGCAACCACGGCTGGCCAACTAGAATATGCATCGGCAGCTAAGCGAGCAATGAACTCGCCTATACGCTAGTTAAACACGACACAAGATACATGCAGACCACGGGTCGCGGGAAGTGCCTAGCCGAGCATGGAGAACAATCCGGGCGCCGCCTGCCGCTGCCTCCTTTCAAGTAACTTGCTGGTCGAAGGAGGGCGTTAGGAGGTAGTAAATGCTTCGGCACGCGAAACGCGGTCACCAGCAGCGCCGTCATCAGCAGACGCTAAAAAAGCGTTCGCACTATCGAAGGTGTTCAGCTTGTCGTCCTGGCTGCCTGTAGGTCGACGACGTTATGCTGTAAACATGCGAGCCTTGAGCATCAGCAATCTTTGAGCGGTCAGATCAACCAACAGACGCCAATAAGCATCGCAACGCAATCCACTGCGACTGTCTTCGTTATGAAGGACACTGTCAACAATCGAACCGTTTTCTCAAGCTTTCATCTAACTCATTCGGTTCAAGCGCTGAATGATCAACCATATGAGCTGTGGTCCCATTTTCACGTGTTCGCCGTGTTATACCAATGATGAAATACTGCATTGAGTCATTTATGCCGTTACCGTTGTTTATCCGTGGCCAGATTCGGATGTATCAGGATTACAGACAGTGCTCGCAACGAAGCCTATGGATTTCGAACATAAGCTAGAGAAATTCATAAACTCACTGGAAGAACGGTGTTTTAAATTGCAGATATCATCACGGAGTGCCAACGGGTGCGCTAACAGTTACAAACCGTAAGAAGTCAATATTTTATAATAGCCAAAAGTACTTTAACAGTACAAGGTATGTGGTTCGAGAGAATTTTTCAGTGGAGATCTATGCAGCCGTAGCAAACATCAGAGCACTTATCCTTATCTTTCTCTACATGATTTAATTAGCTCTGCACGGTATCAACTACAGCGCAACTGGTCTCATTCCGGAGAAAGACACGTAGTGACTCTGCGTTAAATGAAGCGTACCGTTTTGGGTCTTGGTCTAGCCTTCCACAGTTTTAGATGACGAAAATAAACTGTTACCTGAATCATTACCTGAATCATCACTTGACTGGAAACACAGTCTAAAACTGCAAAATTTGCTGTTATGACGTACCACGGCTGAACGAAACTGCATTATGAAAGGAGGAACAATCGATACCGAACCTGACACGCAGTCAGCATATTGACTTCCGCTAAAAACTTCCTTCTTTCAGATGAGATGCCAAACGCACTCTGAAATGGCTTGCTGTTGTCCTTATCCTTTCTTGCACTGTTGCATCCTCAATGAATGGCAGATACACGCTTCCATCTCTTCAACGATATCTTCTCAGCGCTATTTTTCAAAGAAACGTCGGCGGCGTTTCAGAATCACACAAAGACACACACACACACACACACACAACACACACACAGTTATAGACTACTTCTACTTTTTTAGTTATCCTATAGCTAGTCAGATGCAACGCAAGTCAGGTTAACCCGATATTTATTTAGATCTGTTCTTCATGGTAGAAATTCTGTAGGAATGGTGACGATAAAGGAGTTCTTTAGGACCAAGCTTGAAGGAGTCGATGCATTTTATGCGTATGTGCGATACTACTTCAAAGCTGACCTGATCCACCTTCGTTAAGACAACAACCGGTTTCGAGTAAAAGCTGTTACCAACCAATGTCGCGCGTAAAGCTGTCGGTTTCGTCCAAGAGAAGATTAGTTACGAGCAGATGCAGATCGGCCAGCATTTGGATTCGAGGACTGGTTGTGCACTAGGGTCATTCTCTTCAATTATCGGGAAGCCGGAGAGTTCAAAATGACGAAGTCTATGCGTATCGAGTAGATGTCACAGTCGTTGCTCACTACCGAAGTTATGTTTTCGTGGCGGGCTTGCAGAGTCTGTACAGCGTCGACCTCGCAGTGAAAAGTTTGTGGGTTCGAATGTTAGCCAGATGACCTGCTACAGATTCATTCTACGTAGGCAAACGCGTACCACCATGCGCGAACGACGCGGTAGAAATAACGGTTAGCGGTATTCAAGCAAACACCAGCTCTACATCACAATCACCACCGAAGGCATGAAAAGAACGCCGTTCATCAGATACATATACGGTATATTGGCCTGACTACGGTTGCAAACTTTCCTTTCCTTTCTTCTCTCACCTAACCTACGATGTACCCGTTAAAGTGCGGGCAAAGGCGACAGCATTGAACGGAAATTTAGGTCAAACATGAAAGAACGTTTTTCATCATTCTCTCAAAAGCAGAATATTATCAGATCTTTCACTGATAAAGGGCCGGATAGTGAAATGCTGATCAAACAACCTAAGGGGCAAGGATGTGGACGTTTTTTCTTGTTTTCTGCTCGTTTTCGCGTTTACATCGTTTTTAGATATGGGCGAAAGAACATAACGATATGGGCGTGTTTTTCTTACATAGCTCCAGGTTATAAATACATATTTGGGAGGGTGCTTTCAACGACTCCTAGCCGAGGCAGCGCATCATCGGCGCTCGTGCTTGAATCGGTGGGACGGAAAGGAGGAGCGAAATTGCCAAGAGATAAACGCGTCGAAAAAACATTCAAGAGTGACCATATTCGCAAATTCCATTAAGAGCGATATTCATCAACCTATCCGGATAAACGATCTCTGTTCGTTAACAGGTCCATATTCAAAGCCAAAAACAGCTCTGTCATGCCCAGTGTGCCCTGTTTCGTTAGAAGGCAGCCTTTTTCGGTTTCACGACGTGTTCACGGCAACCCGGGCTGCTCAAAAAATGCATTCTTTCATGCAATATGGAGTTCGGAACGTTTCGTTTGAAACGAAGAGGCGCGGGGTTCCCGTCCCTGGGTTAATCAAGACCTGTAACGGAATGCTGCATTTACTGAGGCATCACGCCACTGCTAGTTCTGTGGGGAAATATTTTTTTTCGGAATATTCTGAAAAGAGACAGCGGATTAGGAGCTTCGTCAGAATCACAAAGCTAGGATGACTTCGGCTCTGACCAAATGTTTTATCCCAGAATCACAGAATAAGCTGCCAATTCACACTGCCTTGATGTGCGTCTGTCCTCGAATTGTAAGATGAATTAAACTGCGCTATAGAAATGCTATCAAATAACATAGCACATTACGTCAAATTTCGAAGAGAAGTGTGGCGGCACCTTGTTCCCATTCACGTCGAAAGAGCACCATCTGCGTGGTTCGCCATTAGCTGTAAGACTCGCCAGAGAAATGTCAATGAATCTTAAGAAAATTTCGGATTAAAAACGAACTCAGTTTTGCTGCAATTTCTCAACTGGAGAAACATCTCGCTAACAAGATGCAAGACCTTAGATGAGTCCTAAAGCACTGCTGACTAAAGCATCGAAACTTGCAAGTTTCCAGCATGGTTGAGAAGTTACTGCTATCGTTGTGTGATCGTCATTCAACACAAGCAAACGCTAAACAACAAAGAGAGCAGCCGGCCAGACGTTAAAAACGGCTCAGATTAGTACTATTCGTAGTGGTACCAGATACCGAGATTCAGCTCAGTCAGTGCTTCAGGAGAAAGAGCGTGGTTTCGTCGCCACGGCCAGAAGATAACGGATCAACCGTTTACCCTGAAAGGTGCTTGAAAAATGATGAGCACGTGCGACGTAAGTTAATGTTTACTTTACAGACGTGATGAAACTCGAATGACAGGCCGGCGCAATCGAA